GGGGATCACAAAGGAATTTTGTATTTTGAACTCATGCCGCAGAACCAAACGATAAATTCAAATGTGTATGTTGAATAACTCGAAAAACTGAAGGATGCAATTGTAGATAAGCGGCCGGCATTATCAAATCGGAAGGGTGTTGTTTTCCATCATGATAACGCAAGGCCCCACATATCTTTGGTTACTCGGCAAAAATTATTGGAACTGACCTTGCGCCTTCGGATTACCATTTGTTTCGTTCCATGCAAAACTCTTTAAATGGTAAAATTTTTAACAACGCGGATGATGTCGGATCACACCTAATTCAGTTTTTTAATAGCAAAGACCAGACATTTTACGAACGTGGAATTTTTACTCTGCCAGAACGATGGAAAAAGGTCATCGACAAGAACGGCCAATATCTAATTGAATAAAGTTATATTTTTAAACAAAAATTCCGAATTTGCCTTCTTATTCGAAATCGGCAATGACTTATTTGCCAACCTAATAGTTCTTCAGATTCAAATATTACCCATTATTTTCTTGGTCTCTGTTTTTTTCGGATAAATTAATCACGGAGACCTAGTTTATACGGCTTATAACCCTATGTAAATTCTAACTTTCCTAAGTTGAGAATAACTGTCTTCAATTTTACTTTGTCATGGGGATAAAAGTCATATTTATATCATTCGTTTAGGGCCAATGTTCTTTTGACATTGGCTTCACTCAGTTAATGTTTGAGAATGTTAACTGCCTATATCATAATTCCCAAATATTTTTCTCTATTTTAATTGCATAATTATTTAAAGTGGAGTGAGAATTCAATCCCAACTGAATTTGAGTTAGCAATATCTTTTCCTTATTCGATCATATGCATAATTTAATATATTGAAATAGTTAGTCATATTCATGATTTCATCTTATTCCTTCAGCTCAATGAGGAATTGATCCGTTTGTCAGTTTCCTGGATGGAGATGTGGTTCGAGTGCCTAGAGGATGCTAGTCGAGTATACTTCGGTGAGAAGGACACCAGCAAGATGTTCCGGCTAATGTATCCCCTACATCTCGTTATGGAACGCGGCTCTGAGACGTCCAACGAGGCTGCTTTCTTGCAGGAGTTTGGCAAGGAGCTCAATAATTCACGAATATACTGTGAACGCTTTGAAAGCCAAGGGATGGGTGCCGACTTGCAACAAGCTTGGGATGGATATTACACCCTATATCGAACAGTAAGTGTCTAGGCATTTACAATTGGGGAAGAGTTATTTAATTAGGAAAAAAAATTTCCCTAAAAATTTTTTCCCATATTTTTGCTATGGGCAGCTTTCCCTTATATTAATATTATTGATTGTTTGTATATTTCTAGACCTCGTATGTTCTCTCCTTTACCTCTACTTGAAAGAAAACTGGTGTAGGACATAAATTTGGTGAAAGCTACTTCTCATTATCATTACCTTGTAATGTGCGCGATAGACTTACCTCCTCGTGGTGCACCCTAGACAACGTATTTTCTTACGGCAAAAAAGTCTATCACTCGGCATTCGTTTTTTTACTTCGATTTTTTATGATTAGCTTTAAAAAAGGCTATAAGAAAAATCGCCCTCGTCAGGGCGAATCACAACGTCTTCAGATCCTCTAGTGGAATGCTGGAGGAATGTCTCCGGACAAGAAGATCGAAGTCCAGAAAATCCTACAAACCTATGATGTAGACATTTTCACAATTATGGAAGCTAATATTTCGGATGACAAACTGAAGTATTACCAATTCCCAGGTTACACCCTGTACCTTCTACCTAAATACCGGCTAGTTGCAAGTGGAATTCTAACTGGAGTAAAAGAAGGCCTCACCTCACACTACGACCTAATCAAGAGTATAGGCTCGACACAAGACAAATGTGAAATAATCAGATTAAATGTTTGGAAATGTCAAAACCACTTCAAGATATATGCAGTCTATAATCCACCCCAGAATTGTCCCAACTTTGACATTCTGAACATCTCACACAAAACTATAGTACTAGGAGACTTCAACGCCCATTCCACCAGATGGGGCTACAAGGATACAAACAGCTGGAAAGGAAATTAAAGACATGCTAAACAGCAACCCTCTTGAACTTATTTACAGCAATGAGAATCTGGCTACAT